GTTCAGGCTGGTTTTGAGCTCACTTTGTAGCCCAGGCTGGTCTTGAACTTGCAGTGATCCCCCTGCTTCAGCCTCCGGAGTGCTGGGATTACAGGCATGTGCCACCACGCCCAGCTAAGACTCCTTATTTTATAGTGTTGGAAATATATATTTCATGTCTCTTTTCTGTACTAGACACTAATTTCCTTGAGGGAAGAGAAACTGCCACATACTTATGCCAAGTTTATGTAGCTCTTGGCTTTGCAGTGGTGGCTGCTCAGTTAATAAATGCTAAGTGGAAATGCAAACTCATAGCCAATGTTAAAGGGCAGCAAGGAATAAGACAATCTGTGTTCTATTACTACATGGACAATTTTTGATTATATGTTCTTGAAAAAAGAGCTTTTATTTTCCTCATCCAGATAAAGAGGTAAATAATTTCTATTCTGGATAGCCTAGTGGTTTCTTGGGAAACTCCTGTAGAAATAAATTTTAAAACCATGTTTCCCTGTGATTCATTTATAACGTTTTCAAATGTAAGCTACTTTGGAAGGTTACTATCATGAAGAACTAAGAAAAGAAAATGACAGGGGAAAGGTGTCGGGTATGTCCTGGACATTAAAGTAAATACCTTCTGGTTTTTTTAGCCTTGGAATTGTGATGCTGTCCTCAAATTGTTCAAACACTGTTTCAATGAACATGCTGTCAATGCTACAAAACTTTTTGAAAGGAAGAGCAGAAGGAAGTGTAGAAATTCCCAAGTTCCTCGTAGAGTCCAAGTGGTGTCAGCATTCTCTTTGTTCTTGCTTCAGTCAATTCTACTTAAATAGAACTCATTAAGAGATAAGAAACGAAAATGGAGATTAGTAATGGAAAAGTAGTGCAACAGCTTCCCTGTTCTATGTGAAAGCTCATTTTCTGAGAACGTGAAGGCTTACCGTCACAGGCGAGAACGAGTCTAACACTTCATTTCTATTTTAAGTAAAGTAACTGGATACCATTTTTTTCTTTTACTTTCAGAAAATGTACTCTAGCCCTTTGTTAACTCCAGGAGATATGTACCTTGGGAGAAGTTAGACTGGTATAAAAATGCCAGCTTTTAATAGAAGATCTCAGGACATAGGAACAAAAGGAATGAAGTTTATGAGAAGCCGACCTATTCTACCTGAGCAAAGTTAAGGTTCAGGAGAGACCCAGATGAGCTATTTCCTGGCCATGCTTTGAAATCACCTCTCATTTCTTTTCCTAAACATTGTGTACTCTGTCCTCAGTTCTCCACGCACCAGTTGCTGTTCTACCACTTCACCAACCAGCCCATACCCTTCTCCATTTTAGTCTCACTTTCCTCCTACTGTATTCCTCCTCTCTCCCCTTTGCTTCTCAAACGTGTGTCCTTGTCTAAGTGTCTATAAATAGTGTGTACGAGTGAATATAGCAATATAAATGATGGTAAAGTACAGCTTTAAGCTCAGAATAAATGTTTCAAAAGAAAGAAAGAAATGAAAGGAATATCCATGAACTTTGAACTGAATGATTTAAAACTGTTAATCAAAACATACTGTGTAAAAATGATAGTAGAAAACATTGCCATATATCCCCCTCAAAATACTCTCCTATGCTTCAAATACACTTATCCCACCATTCTTGCCACTTTCTAAAGCGGATCTGAAACTCCTCTTTCCTGAGTGTTTTTACATGGTGTGATAAAAATACAGTGAATGCTGCTGCTGAGCACCATCCAATAGAAAAGCAGGTCTGTAAAAATGTTACTGTGTGTCCTAGTCCAGCTTACTCAGTGGATCTGGCACTATGTAACTTCTGACTCTTCCACAAATCCAAAATGTCCAGCAGAGGTAAATGTTTGAATTGATTCAGGACATCAAGACTACCATGACAGTGCAACTAAAGACACTCACAAAAGAGGACTTCCAGAACTGCTTCAGAAAATGGCAAGATGATGGGATAAGTGTGTTTGAAATGAGTGAGACTATTTTAATAAGTATTAATGGTAATGTGTCTTTCACTGCAATAATTTTTTTAAAATTGAGCACTTGGCGTAAGTGCCACACTGTTTTAAGTACTTAGGATTCAGTCAGTAAACAAAACAGACAAAAATACCCCAAGGCATATAGTTTAGAAGAGTGAGGCAGGTAATAAATGATGAGAAAATAATAAATTAGTGTCCAATGGTAAGAGGAAATATGTGCTTTGATGAATCTAGAACTAGTAGGCATTTGTTAGAATGGCTGTTATCAAAAAGACTGAACACAACAGGTGTTGGTAGTTTCTCAGAAAACTAGAAACAAAAACTTCCGTGTGATCCACCCATCCCCCTACTGGATATATATACAAGTTAAAAGAAATTAGTGTGTTGAAGGGACATCTGCATCTGTACACTGATGTTTATTGCAGCACAAAAAATGGAAACAGCCTAACTGTCCATCAGCTGATGAGTGGAAAAAGAAAATGTGGTAAATGTTTGTAATGGAATACTATTGTAATATTTTATATAAAAAAGAAGGAACTTTTGACATTTGCAATCACATGAAAGGAGCTAGAGGACATTATGTTAAATGAAGTAAGTCAGGCACAGAAAGACAAATTGTACATGTTTTCATGTACACATGGAAACTACAGAAGTTAAATTCATAGAAATAGAGGGTAGAATTATAGTTATCAGGAGGTAGGGAGTCCTGGAGAGACCCAGATGAGCTGTTTCCTGGCTATGCTTTGAAATCACCTCTCATTTCTTTTCCTGTTTGTCAAATAACACAAAATTTCAAATAGAATAAGTTAAAAGGATCTTTTGTAAAACACGATGGCTATAGTTAATAATGATGTATTATACTCTTAAAATTTTCTAAGAGAGTACATTTTAAGAGATTGTCATGGTTTGTGTCTGAATGTTCCCCCAAAGCCTTATGCAGTCACGGGGTGGGCTTCTAGAGTTTATGATTGATTCACGGTCCAATGTTTGGATTATGGGTGTGAGGGCTACACCCACCCTGGGGCGGGTAGTTTGCATACAATGTAAGGCTCCCTGCTTTTTGCTCTTGTTGCTTTTGCTGTTTTCTGCCTCCATGAACTGTTGCCCTCTGCCATGTGCCACTCTGCCTTGGAGCCAGCCAAGTATGGCCTGAAACCTCCACAAACTGTGAGTTAAATAAACTTTTCCTTCCTTAAATTTGGGCATCAGGAATTTTGTCTCAGCAACAAGAGAAAAGTAACCAAGACAGAGGTTTTGCCACAATAAGTGATAAACGTGTGAGGTAATGCATATTTTAGCTCAACTTAAAACTTACACCATACATACATATTTCAAAAGAGCATATTTGTCTTAGTTACTTTTCTCATTGCTAGGACAAAACAATCACGTAAAGTTAAAGGAAATGTTTATTTAGCTCACAGTTTGTAAAGATTTCAGTCCATAATCGGCTGGCTCCAAGGTAGGATGGGTGGCAGATAAGCATCGCAGAGGAGAAGCAGTGCATGACGGGCAGAAGGTAGCAAAGCAAAAGGGACAGCCATAGCTCTTTCTATCTCTTATATCTTATCCAGGCTACTTAGGGCAGGTAGCACCCTTAATCCTAATGCCCTTGAGCCTCACATCGCAGCATGAATCAATTCCTACATCACATACTCCAGATCCAGCCACCTCTGAAAAAGCCTCACTTTTGACTGCCTAAGTCTTTGGGGGGTGAGGGGGACATCCAAACACAAACCATAGCAATATTGTACACAATAAATACAACTTTTATTTGTCAATTAAAATTTAAATTAAAAAAATTAATAGGTATGCTGTGAGGAATGGGTGTGGGGTTGGTGAAGATTGCAGTTGTAAGTAGGGTGCTAATGGTAGGTATTATTGAGGAGACATTTGAGAATACAAAGGAGCAAGTAGGGTCCTGAACCAGACTTATCTTCTAGTACCCTCTGATCTCACCATAATGCTGATATCTGTTCTGCCTATTTTTAGAGTGATCTCCAATTATAAGCCATGTCAGCATTAAAGCCAGTAAGTGTCATTCCCTTCTCTTGCTGAGGGTCTGATTCATCAATAGAAGATAGAAATCTTAGAGGGAATTAATTCTTTTTAAACCGAGTAATAATGTAAGAAGACAGCTTTTATGCTGGCAATGCCTTCATAAATTCCAAAAGTTCAAAATTCAAATATATAACATGTGGCAATTAAACCATAAAAATGCACCTTGAGATGCACTATGTAATTCTCCAAAGAATCTGACTTTCCAAGCTGAAGTGAACTGGAAATGAGGATGAATACCTATCGCCCAGCCAAATACTTCCACGGTGACATAAGAATTGGGGCGCCAAGAACTGCATCATCACTCCAGCTTTCTGGCTTCCTCCCAGGCGTCTAAACATTTGTTTCCTGAGAAATACCACTTGAATAATTTCTTGGCCTCTGGCAGGATACCACACGGCTAAAACTTCATTGCCCTTGTTTTTTTTGTGAACTTGAGTCGGGACTTTTTAATTTATATTTTGCTGACACTGTGGTAATGCAGCTATATTTTGGATAATCTGAGCAATATCGATTAATATTATTCTACAAGGTAAAATCTTTTAGAAAAACCAGGTTCCGTAGGCTCCTTCAAAATTCTATAGACCAATTTTAAAGTGCAGAAATGGGAGAAAGCCAAATCCAGGCAAATCCTACCAGTTCTAAATGAAGCATTTCCTTAAAGGTATAGACCAGACATCAGAAAATGAGATGCCCTCCGAAGGGAATGTTGAAGAAGCTGTGTTCACTGACCCAGAAGAAGAGAATCCTAAAGGAAGCTTGATAATTGTCTTAAAATGTACTAATTACTCACATACAGAAGATAGTCAGTACTTGTTCTTTTGATTCTTAAATGACTAAATAACTTAAGAAGGGCTTTAGTAGGCTGTGGTTAGACTTAAAAAGGAATCTTGATTGTGAAATACTGGAAATGGCTCATGGGGAAATTGTGGAATATTTCCTCTAGAGAGGTTTATAAATAGGATTCTTATTTGTGATGGTTTGAGTGTAGCAGCAAGAACTAGTGAGCCTAGGGTTTCTTCTGTTGGACTAGATTTGGTATAGTAGCTTTTTTGGAATCATGTCCTTATACAATGCTGTAGTGAGCTGTGAGGCTTGCATTTAAAATATCTATTATAATATATATATAAATATATATATATTCCAAGGACTACTGATTTGATGCTTATAAAACCATTACTGTATTTACCGGGTAGGGTATTTTAGAATTAGCTAGCAAAAAGCACTTGTATTGGTTATCTTCATAGCCTCACTACTATTTTTACAGCAAGAAGTCCACCTACAACACATTCTAAACTTAAAATTTCAGGGACTTTTTTTTTTGTTTTTTTGTTTTTCTCCGGTACCAGGAACCGAACTCACGACCTTGCGCTTGCCAGGCAGGTGCTTTTGCCGCTGAGCTAAATCCCCAGCCCCTCAGGGACTTTTAAATTTAAAAGGAAGTAGACATGATTTACCCTGAATATTA